AAAAAAAGGAAAAATTAATAAGTCGGATTTAATGAAATAAAAACTTTTGCTATCCAGAGTCATCACAGGGAGATAATGGAAAAGGCAAGACAAGAAGAAAATATTTTCAAGTCACATATATCACAAAGGGCATGTATCCAAAATATACAAAGACCCACTCAAAGAACATATGCAATCTTAAGAAAATAGATAACACAATTTAAAAATAGTTAAAAAATTTGAAATCTTCATTTCAGAAGATATGAAAATGATTAATATATATGAGAGAAGATGCTCAAAATAACTAGTCATTAGGGAATGAAAATTAAAATCATAATGAGATACCATTTTACATTTACAAGAATGGCTATAATAAAGAAGACATACAATATCCAGTGTTGGCTAGAATGTGGAGAAACAGAAAATCTCATGCATCGCTTGTGGGAATATAAAATGGTACAGCTAATTTAAAAAATATTTTAGCAGTTTTTTAAAATGTTAAATAGAAATTTACCATAAAACTCAACTATTCTGCTCCTAGGAATCTGTCCAAGGAACATGAAAATATATATGCACTCAAATACTTATGTGTGAATTCATTATTCACAACAGCCAAAAAGTGGAAACAAATGTCCACCAATTGATGAACTGATAAGTGAAATTATGTATTGTAAATTATTCTTTAGCAATATAAAGTACCAAGCACTGGTACGTGATACAACATGAAAAATTCTCAAAAAAATATGCTAAAACAAAAGAAGTCAATAACAAAAGACCACATTTTATACCATTCAATTCTTATGAAATGCCCCAGAAAGGCAAATCTACAGAGACAGAAAGATTAATGGTTACCTGGGGCTGGAGTTAGGGACAAAGATTGACTACAAAAGAGTTCTTTTTTAGGTAAAAGAGTTGTACTAAAACTGTATTATGGTGATGCTTGAATAGCTCTATATATTTGCAAAAATTATTGAATTGTACATTTGCAGTGAGTTTTATATAACTTATACTGCATTGCAACACACCTGTTAAAGACAAAGATTCCCATGAACTCTAGGAACTTTTTCTATAATGAGTTTTGCTACATATCTTTGTTTATTTTTTCTTTTCTTTCTTTCTTCTTTGTCCTTTCTTCCTTTCTTCCTTCCTTCCTCCCTCGCTTTCTTTCTTTCTTTCTTCTTTCCTTTTTCTTTCCTTTTCTTTCTTTCTTCCTCTTTTTTTCTTTTCTTTCTCTTTGTTTTTTTCACTTTCTTTCTTTCCTTTTTTCTTTCTTCTTTCTTCTTCTTTCTTTTTGTCTTTCATGATCTTTTAAGGTCCCTTCTGTGAGGAGTCAACAAAATCTTCTGTTTCTCAGTCTTGTTGGAAAGGAGGAATTTGCCAAAATAGCAGCTCTACTTACAATTGTGAATGTCCAGAAGGATTCCTCATTCACAAGTGTGAAACTGATATCAATGAGTGTTCATCAATACCATGTCAAAATGGCACTGACTGTAACAATATACCAAAGGTAAGTTGTAATCTAACATACAAATGAATGGCTTTAATATATATTTTATTAGTACCAAACAATTTGAAAAGTACAAGTAATTAAAATTCTTGTTAAGATAGTATAATTTTCAAACTCAGAAAAATCAGAAAATCTACTTTATTTTATTTTTTTTACATAGAAATCCCAACTTTAAAAACATTGTTCAATTTCATTTTTTGCTGTTCCACCAATATTCTCTACTGAAAACAATATAATTTTGTACGTTTTTCCTTTTTAGTTATTACTTTTTAAATTTTTCCTTTAGCTTTTAATTATTTGGCATTGTTATACTTTAACTTTTTAATTTAACATTTAAATACATAAGACCAGGAAATAATTATTAACTGTTTCCACAAATCATTATCTTTTCATTTTTATCAAGATTCATATGTGTCACCAACTCTTTAAAGAACTTTAAAACTTTATTTTGTTTTTTCCAAATCCATCAACTTTTTATTACTAACTCTTTAAAAATGGAATTTTTCTTTCCTGGAAAAATGCCCATTCTATTAACAAAGTCTTTAGTAAATCATTTCTGAGAAGGCTTAATTTAATTATACAGAACATGTACTATACAGAGAAGGCCTACTATAAGATCATTTTGTAATCGATCCGGAATTTCTATTTCAACACCCAAGACTCGTTATTAACCTACAATATACAAGGCATAATATTGGGAGATACAAGTGCAAAGAGCAATAAGGCATGCTTCTCACAATCAAGGAAATTTCAGCTGTAGTAGGCAGTCTAAGCCCCTCATCCTGCTACTCCAACCCCAAATAAAGATGTCTATGCCCTAATCCAGGAATGTGTGCATATGTTATGTTACATATCAGAGAAAATTAAGATTGCAGATGGAATCAAGGCTGCTAATCAGCTGATGCTATCCTAAGTTGTCTGGGTGGGCCCAATGTAATTATAAGGGTCCTTTAAAATGGAAGGGAGAGGCAGAAGGATCAGAGTCATAGAGAGGTTTGATGATGTTATGATGCTGGTTTTGAAGATGGAAGCAATGGTTATAAACTAAGGACTGAAGGAAGCATCTACAAGATTGAAAAGTCAGGGAAAAATTCTCCCCTAGAGACTCCAGAAGGAACACAGCTGATATCTTACCTGTGGCCCACTAAAACTCCTATGACCTCTGGAACTATAAGATAATGAGTTTTTGCTGCTTTCAGCCACTAAGTTTGTAATGATTTGCTATATAAATAAAATTTGTTAATATAGAAAACTAATACAATAGTCTATCAATAATTATTAAAAGGATATTTTATTTTTTGTTTTTAAATCTGAGAATAATGAGAAATTAAACCAACTCTCTAATTTTACTAGTTATGAGTATCTTAATATAAGAAGTGATCTTTAATGGATGTCTATTTAACTATTAATTCATAAAAGTACTTTAACTCTATTTTACTTTTTCCTGTATTGTTTGTAATTATGTTTGAAAGAACAATTTTATAGATAAATGATTTGGAATATCATGCATTTTATCATTTCCACCATTCCCATGTATGACTTTGAGCAAGCTGTCAAACTCTTCCATCTTTACTTTTGTCTTAGATGAGTACTATTTGATTGGATTCCATTTGGAAGAAACAAAATCGTTCATTTTAAGTTCGTGGGGTTTTCACCTTGAAATCACCTAACAAATATTATTGTTAGGATGAAAATTATGATGATGATATGATGATGACAGTGATGATAATGATAATGAAGAAAAAGGAGAGGAAGAAATAAGGAGGACAAGAAGAGAAAAAATATGATGACTAGGCTGTATTTAGATTACAGGTGAAATTAACTTATAAGTCTATCAAATTTAATCTCATTTTTCTTTGTAACTACCCATAGATGTATGGGTGTATTTCTTGTTCCAATTTTCTATGAATAATCACCCCCAAAACTTGGTGGCTTAAAGTAGTTATTTTATTATTATCTCTTATGGTTCTGTGAGTTGACTTGTCTCAGGTAGGAGATTCTTGTTTGAGTCTCTCATCAACTTGCAGTCAGAAAGTGTCTGGGCTTGGAGTTTATCTTTGGGGTTTTCTAGTACACAAGTTTGATAGTTAATGTTTGCTGTCAGATGGGCTCTCAGCTAGGGCTATTAGCCAAAATCTGAAACTTGACTTCTCCATGTTGCTTGGTCTTCCTCAGAGTATAGTGGCTGAGTTCCAAGATCAAGCATCCCAAGATAATTAGACAGATGCTATATGGCCTTTTAAACTTAGCCTTGGAGGTCACATAGCATCACTTTCTCCATAGTCACAATCTAGCCTACATTCAAGAGGGATGAGATACAGCTCCCAACTCACAGAGTGTTTTTGCATAGCGGGAAGAGTATGTTAGATGGGAGTGGTTGTTGAGATATTTTGAAAAATAGAATTTTACACATTGCTGCATAGGGAATCTCTACTCCACATTTACAAAAATATTTTTCACTCCTCTGCAGGTAATAACCCATTTATTATGTTTGTAATATCCAAAACATTTGTAAAATAATTTTTAATCTTTCCTAGGATGTTATATGCATCTGTTCACCAAAATTTACAGACAGGCTTTGTAAGAGAATTCAAACATCACGTGATCTATTTTCTTGGAAGAATAATGTCACATGTATGAACTGTGAGGAAGATTATTATTGCAGGTATAAAATAATTTTCTAATTTTATTTTTTACACAAAATGCATGGTATTTAAAGTTGCATGAACAAAAATAAAATAATATTTTGTTTTTAAGCTTAACTTGAATTTAATGGTATATAATATATCTATTTCAAGTCAAGGTTGGAAATTTTTTGCATGTCTTGGGTTAATTGTGGTATTGGTTTAAAATAAATATTTGAGAAATTCTCAACCATAACCTAGGCATACAGTTATAAACTAAATATTTTGTTTTATTATATAATGGAGGTTTTAGTGTAACTGAGTAGTATTTGAAGGTCTAAAAAGAAAGGAAAATTATAAGTCCCCTTAGTATTATTTCTGTTATATACATATGGTTTTGAAGTATTTTGAAATGCTAGAGTCATCATTTCTTTCTATAATTCACAGACCTTAGCTGATAGTTTTTAGTTAGGGTCTTTATGCAGACTTTTAGGAAATCATGCTCTCTTCAAGTAGGAATTTGCTAAAAATTACTCATTTGTAAATGACAGAAGTAACCCAAATATCTGGGCATATAATTTCGGTCCATTTTAAACAGCTTTATAGATATTTTCTCACACCATTAAGAAATACAATTTATACTCTTCACACTTGCTTGACTTTTATCTGGCTGCTTAAAGCGAGTTCTACTGGGCATTATTGAAGAGCAGTAAAAGTAGCTTCCAAAAATTAGAGTATTCTTAAAAGTAGAAAATTAAAATCTAGGGTACAGGATAGCCTTAAAACACACTGGAAAAAAAAACCTAGAATATGTATACACATCATAGATGTACAATTCATAGTACTTTAATCAATTTCAAAGAAATTCAAATTCAAAGTTTTTAAAAACTTAAGCTTTTGAAATTTGACTTTTCAAAAGAAAATGAAGAGAAACCTTGTCATTATACCTAAATCTTGGAAGATCTAACGCATCCAGCCAAATATTTGAATACCTTCAATCTTGTATTAATTCACCAATAAACTCAATTGTTATCCTTTTCAAAATGTTGACTTGACTTTTTAATTCAGAATTTCTATTTCTATGCCTTATACCACTAGCATATTTGTGAATCTACTTAGAAAAGTAATCACCCTTTAAAAATATAGATGATAACATTAAATATGGGCAAATATACATTCATATATAATTATTGACTTTATTTATTTTTACTAAATATGAAGCTTTTATTGATCCTTATATTAACAGTATTCTGATTGTTTAGAAAGCTTTGTTTTAAAATTAATCAAGAGAAAAACTAGATAACTACAGACATTGTTGCCATTTCTTTTATTGTTTTGTTATTATTATTATAATAATTAATAGATTTAACTTTAAAACAATGGAATTTGATCTGAAATGTTTTGTTAGCATATTTTAGGGTTAGGATGGACATTGTAGAAATTTAAGTTAGGTTTTCTTAGGAAGAACCAAATACATTAAGTAGATAAATTAGTTGTAACAACTTTGAAATAAACTCATGAAACTGATATGAGTCACTATGTGTTCTATGATTGTCCACATGTAGCTATCCCAAACCCATTTAATAACATTGTCCCTTCCTTTTGCTAAATTAGATTCCTGTTAATAACGGGTAACATATAAAGAAAATGACAGGGGAGAGAAAATAAAACTGCTTCAATAAGGCAGAAATAACATGTGGTCTAATTTGAATTATAATGAAAGACAAAGCCTCAGAAATCAATAAGAGCATGGCACAAATTTGGAAAACAAATGCAGAATTTCTAGCCCCCTAGACTCCTCTCCCCAAAGTCACCATCAACATTAAAAAAAAAAAAAAATTGCTAACTCTGACTCAGGTGAAGTAATGGAAATATAATCAATATAAATTAATAAAGTTTAAAGTTGAAACAATGACAGAAAATTAGTGTTAAAATCTATTTTCCCATTCTCATAGTAAAGGAGGAAAATCAATGAAAATAATAAGAAAAATGAAAACCCCTTGACTTAAAGCTTTTACCTTAAGTATTTATCTCTGTGTTGCTAATTTACAAGGTGAGTTTTTCTAGATTAGTGACTCTAAAATTTTGGCCAAATTAGAACTTCCTGAAGGGATGGTTAAAGCACAAATATTAATAGTTGTTCCTTGTCCCTAGTTGTTTCTTGTTCCCGATAAATATGGGATGAGGATCACAGACGTGCACTTCTAACAAATTCTTAAGTGATGCTGATGCTGCTGATCTGGAGACAACACACTTTGAGAATTACTGGTCAAGATGAGCTGAGTTCAAATAGCATCCATGCAGAAAATCCTCTTACAGAAGTATTCCTAGTTTAAGTACCCACCTCTACACAAGCTTTTACTTTTCTGAATGTGGAAGGAAAAAAAGTGTTAGATTGAAGGAGTCAAATGAAGAAAGGAGAATAGAGTGATGATGATGGTATCAGTTTCCCTGCCTGCATATATGGTGTAAATCTAAATTCCTATGGTTAGAGAGAGAGGAACTGAAGCAAAATTACCTCCATGAAGAAAACAGGGAAACACTGGATATGAGAATTTATTTGAAACCTAGTGACCAAAAGCAAAACAGTGTCACAAAGGAGTTAATTTTCACTTGTAGCAATAAACCTAAGCAGCAATTTCCTTACCACTTAGAAGACTGAAAGCTTTTAAGTGTCTATCAGCAGTTGGCATAAAAATCTTATTCCTTACAAGCAGTAAGAGTTGCAAGTGTCTGAAGCAGCAATGCTGGGAACAGGTGGCACGCAAGTGGAATCTGATGGAAAAGGAAAATAAATAATTGATGTCATGGAAGCATCTGACAGGTGGAACACAGCTTTAGTGACTCCCTTAAATTATCCAAGGATGTTTTGGTTGGAGGTGTCAATAATTTAGCTAATACTTTGAAAGGAAAATTAAGTTTGTGAACTAAAGTAATTGCAGAAAATAAAACAAATGTTTTCAAATAATACTTGAAGAGTTTCTCTTAACATTCAATATGAATCCACTAAAATTCTGCCAGGAAACAGTTGGTTCACTCAAATAGAATAATTTAGGAGAGTTGACTAAAAAGACTAATGGTTATGTAAAGGGTCAATGGAAAACAACAATGAGTTAATACTCACTCTTGGATTAAAAACAGTGTGGCTCTTTTCTTAACTGAAGAGGCAAGCTAAAAGTACAAGTAATAGAAACTAAAGAGAGAACTGCAGCTATAGTGTAAAACATTTTAACATGAACTATGAACTCATGGAGATGAACACAGTTACTGCCAACCTACAGCCTGGCACTGAGGGACTGGAGGAATCCAATACCTACCCTGACTCTCCTCTCACCTTCTACCTTCTGCTAGAGCAGCATATTAGTAGGGACCAGTCAAAAACCATTGATCCGCATCCTGAAATGCAAGGTAAGATGAAGAGGGATGAGGAAAAAGCATCTGGAGGAGACAGCCAGTACTAAAACAAAGTCCAGTGATTAAGATAATGAATTTCAAGTTATAAGACACGAAGAAGATTATGCCAAGGGGTGAAGGAGAGACCAATGTCTTTGGAGGTGAGACTAAGATGGGTTGAATGTCTACCTGTCAACTGGCTCCTCAGAAGCAGAATCCTAAATAGAACCTCTAAGAGGTAAAAACAACTCTAAATATGCTCACAGTATGATATGAGAAGGCTACTTCCTGAATTTCATGGCTCTCAAATCCACACGAGTGCAGGAGCTACACAAGCAAGTGACCAGAAGTGTGGTCCAACTTCAAGAGTCAGAACTGGCTGGAAAGTGAGGTAATTCCTCATGAATATTGTGGTGTAGAAACCCTTCCTCATTTCCGGAACCAGCATTTGAGGCAGAAATGGGAGAACAGGGACTACAGAATTCCTCTCCCTCTTCAGCATCATTCCTCTCTGCCTACAAAAGTGAAAAAAGAGGGGTTGTTTTTGTTTCAGTTTTTTGTTTATTTTTTTATCACCCCCTTTGTATTTTTTAGGCTCCAGCAGATGAAATTTTCCTAGGTCTGTTTGGCACTTTTGCACTTTGATACTGAAATCATTTGGCAGAAAGTCTGCACTTGAGTAACCCTGAACCTCCTACTAGAGGTTTTAAAGAAAAGTGAAACAAACTCTACAGTGACACCAAAAGACTGTATTGTAGCATGTTATTGTGCTACCAGAAGTTATCTTGAAATCATGAAGAAACCCAGCAAGAAGACAAAGCCAAAGTACAAATAAGTTTAGGATTAAAAAGATCCAGAACCATAATCAAGCTCTGCACAGAGTAAGAACTATGTATAGACAATTTGATTATATCAGCCAATAAATCTCTGTATCATTTTAGCCAGTTTGAATTGGGATTATGTTATTTACAACTGAAAATTTTCAAAGTAAATACAATGGAACACTTTGCAAACCACTGATTTCATTTCTATTACACATTTTAAATGTTTAATTTTTTTGTCATTTAGCAGTTTTAGTGCTCACCCAATATTATCTACCAAAGAAAACAAAATATTTCTATAATATGATTGACTACTTTATGTACAATAATTCAGAGTTATGACAAATGTTTATTCTACTCTAATATACTCATATGAATGACTATGTTTTATTCACTTCT